TGTCTGCGTACTGGTGCATTTTTTTAAATAGGTGTAAACTTTGTGGGCCTTGGTAATCAGGAGAGTGAAAGTAACTTGGATTATTCCCCAAAAACTGCTGGTCTGGATGCAAATACTTGAACATTGCTGTTGTCCCTTTCATGGTGTTTTCTCCAGGCTGGACGTAAGGCAGCTCTTCGCTTACTTCTCACTAGCCTATTCAACCTAAGGCATTTTATATGACTTATGTTCATTTTTGAATTTGAACTGATCTTTTGATTAAACATACCTATGAAACAGAATTCCAAACTGTCTGTAACTGAACCTTAAAATGTAAAGGGTGTGTGTGTGTGTGTGTGTGTGTGTACAGTAGTCTTCTGTAAATATTTTTTCCAAAGATGGTGATTGTGGTGTATACAATGTATATACACATATATATGTAGTTAATTTAAATACTTATTGTCTTGATTTTAAACTATGTATGAAACTGACTGGTGAATAAGAAAGTTAGCATGGACTGTGCGTGTAAGGACAAATTCAGTTCCACTGACTGCAAAAATCTGACCACGAGGTCTTCTTAGTGCTGAAGTCTCAAATAAAGCAGGTTTCATTTCAACATCAGGAACCAGACATGACATTGTTTGCTCTTTGCCTGCCCCTGCAGGTCTGATCAGTCTCTTTGCCTGCCTCTGCAGGAATGCTCCAAAAACCTTTAGTTCCTTCTGTTTCTTACAGCTGTGTTACCTAAATGTTGCAAAAACATTCCCATAAATATGATAACAAAATGTCTGAAAAACAGACATTTTGGAGACATACTCATAAATCTTTTAAAAGTTGGTGGTTTTTAATTTCTGACAAATGTCAGTTTTCACCAGTTGAGTTATTTGGGTTAAAATGAGAACCTCGGGAATAACAAAATTCAAATGCTCTCACCAGCTTCGGCTTTCTTGCCCTGTCACGTCTCCACTGTGTGCTGAAAACAGCTTGAACTTGGTTCAAAGAACTGAGCACATTCTGCTAGTGGCATGTACACTCACCTAAAGGATTATTAGGAACACCTGTTCAATTTCTCATTAATGCAATTATCTAATCAACCAATCACATGGCAGTTGCTTTAATGCATTTAGGGGTGTGGTCCTGGTCAAGACAATCTCTTGAACTCCAAACTGAATGTCAGAATGGGAAAGAAAGGTGATTTAAGCAATTTTGAGCGTGGCATG